GAAACACACACAAAGCATACGAGGAAACTTTATAATGACAACGCAATTGTAATAGTAATACAAACAAACCATCATTTTAAGGGCAGTCAAGAGTGCCCCCACCACCTTCTCTCCCAGGTACTGAAACTCATGTCCTCATTATATATCAAAACTACTATAAACTCTCACTATCATAAGCTCATAACCCATTATTATTATTATTATTATTATTATTATTATTTTCCCGTATTATTCATGACTGAATTGGTAAAGTGTTCAACTTTTTAAGTGAGTGTGATCAAGTTTCCTCACCATCCTCCTAGTTTGCCAAGGTAAAAAAAAAAAAACCAATTTTTTTTTCTCATCATTTTTTTTTTTTTTTTAAAAGTTTTAGACCATTTCATTTATCGTTACCTTTTTTTTTTCTCTCTCTTTTAATTCTAAAATCTCCTTGTTAAAAGTCAAATGATTATCATATTTTTAATTAATATAACAACTTATTATAGAAAAAGAGCCCTACCAACATATATATATACAAATATTGATCAGTTGATCAAGTGGTTTAGTGGAAGAAACCCTTAAAAAATGACTCAATTGTTGAATCTTGTGAACACTAGAAGTGGAGTCTTCAAGGAAGACATAGTCTTCCCTTTAGAGAGAAGAAGAAATGGTTGAAAGCATAGAAAAGTGTTGCACATCTTTGTTGGCTAGTGCAAACAATTTGTATATTGTAATGCTTATCTTAATCAACTCCCTTTGATTAAACTAATGAAACCCCATAACCATCTCCAAAATAAACAATTATATATATATATATGCAATTGGTAATGGGGTGGATAATATGGACCACATGAAAGAAAGAAAGATTAATAGTATTGCCTTTCATGTGATGGGCACCTATGGTTTTCGAATCTAGCACAATGTTGCATGTTCTCACTTTCTTGGGAGCCCCTTTTTTGTTTGGAGTGGCTTGAGATTGTTCCACTCCATTTCGATCTTGTCCTCCATGGAAGACCAATTGGGGTAGCTTTCAAATTAGAGTTAATTAATCCAAATTGCCATTTTTTTAGAGATTTAAACAGCCGACCAAACTGAGGTCACCACGTGATGAATAGTCATCGGTGGGGAATCATTGCCTCTACCTGCTTGTTCATCCTCTTTCGAACGAAATGCCATATCAATTTGGCTAAGGCATTATTATGTCAACGGTTCCTTTTTCCGAATTAGCTAGGATCCTCTGCAGTACAGCACATATGCTCTATTTTTGTATAAATTGACCTTAGCCGTCCAATCCTATACAGCACAGAAAACTGGACGGTCTTTTCTCATCTATTAGTTTATCTGGGATTCTTTATGTAGAACCCTAATTTGTTCCCTCCACTAATGTTTACTTTCCTCGTGTTTCTTTTTCCGAATTGGGATCCTCTGCAGTACAACACATGTGCTCTACTTTTGTGTAAATTGACCTTAGCCGTCTAACGTTGTACAGCACAGAGGAATCGAACCGTCTTTTCCCATCTATTAGTTTATCCGGAGAGAACCCTAATTTGTTCCCTCCACTAATGTTTACTTTCTACATGTTTTATCCATCGAGTCCCTTTCATCTTTCTATCTTAGTGGGGAGCTAATTTTCAAACACTTTGAAATGGTTTTCACAAAACAATTAACTAATCAACATACTTATCCAATCCTATGAACTCTATTCTCATGTTATTATTCTATTATGAGATGGCTTACAAAAATTTCTTTCAACAAGTACTGATATGAGATTTGATAACATATGTTAAACTAAACTCTTTTCTTTTTTCTTCCCACATCCATTTTAAACCACCAAAATGGAAATAAAAAATTATCCCTTAATTAATGGGACTATTGTATGAAGTTAAGAACAACTTATCAGCTACATTATAAGTGCAGTGACATATTTTTATATCAAATGAAAGCATAAAAAACTAGGTTCCAACCTATTTGGAAGTACTGCTGATTATCTTTGAGAACCTTCCGGAAAAAAATTAAAGATTTAGGTAGTAATAATGGATTACATTGGAGTTGCAAAAAGTAATTTTTAACTATTTTAATATAAGAAAGAGCTTTAGATTTATGTTCATTGTTAAAAATGTTACTAGTTTTTAAATCTTGAAATTGACTAAAAAAATAAGCATTTATATGCTACCAAGGTAAAGATTTGGTCTCTTGTGGCTTTAGGGAATTGTTTATATGATTTCTTAACATTCTAAAAGTCATCAACTAAATTAAATACAGTGTTCTAAAATAGGCTTTAATTGACAGAGAAGATAAATACGATAGTAGTCGGATTAAATAAACTCAATATTTTAACTAGTGCAAAGAAAACAAAATGATTGCAATCAACATATGTATTGGTATAATAATCATAGAGAGAGTGCAAAAAAATCAAACTTTATGTACTTGCTTAAGATTAATTACTCAATTAAACAATCAATAATGGATAAACCAACTTAGGATATAGAAACTAGGCAAATGGATTGACAAAATATTCAATTAAAACAAGCCAGTTAAGATCTCCCAACAATGCTAAAAGTTTCCTTTAAAGATAAGTTAATTGTATTTCATTATCATCATCATATATATAAGCAAGCATATACATTGGGATTGGGGCTTACATAATCCATAGAAATTAAAAAAAAATTAAATTAAATTAAAAAGTAATATAATGGGGAAAACATATTGAGGGCTTGTCTCTAAACCATCCTTTGATGAGTTGCATACTTGTACTTTTTTTTTCGTCTTCAAAAAACAGTGGTTAACTAATTTAATCAGAATGTGTTATTAAAGATGTTCTGAAAAGTGATGAGCTATACAAAATATTTAAATATAGAAGTAAAGTATATATATTCAATATGGCAGATAATTAGATATCAATCAATGTCCAATACAACATCCTTAACCAAATTCAGATTAGATATTATATATGTGTCAATCTAAAAAATAAAGAATGTGCAGTCAACATATTATATTATGTATTCAAATTGTACGAATTTGAATTAAGAGAGGGAAAAGGAAAACAAATAGAAGAAATCACTTAAATGTGTTTGAATATCACACTAATCTTCTTAATGAAATTGAAATTGAAATTTCCTTCTTGGTGTTTACTTAAAACAGCTTAAGCACAGTTTCTTTTCCATTTGAGTTTTCTAACATCAACTTTTCTTTCTCTCACCTTAATGTTTTTTATTATTTTTAGTTCGAAAGTACAATATTTAAAATTTTAAATGATGATTAGCTGAAAAAAGTATTAGGATGATGGTATAGACCAAGGTTTTTCTATTTCAATAACAGGTTTGGGCTGGGTTGGCCACAATCACATATAGCAAAATCAAACCAAACCAGGCCACCATATACTTAGGTGAAAGCACATCCCGTGGTTATTTGTTTGTAAGTGTACAAGGTAAAGCCCAACTCATGTATACTACTTTCTATATATTTGGGGAGGTAAATCAACACGTGTGCAAAAGAGAGCTCATACAATCTAGGTGAAGGTCCGGATGCAACCAAATATAACATATCGGTCCTATAGTTCTAGTAGGTTTAATTCCCATTGTCCTCTTCACTTTCTCATAAATCAACTTAGGCACCAGGGCTGTAATTGGTATTAATGTATGAGACTCCTGTGGCCTGGATGGATGTAGACCTGTCAATGGATCGGATTCGGATCGGATCGATCAAATTCATATCCTATTTGTTAAGCAAACGGATTATCAAATTCGGATCACTAACGGGTTCTCGGACTGAATGTCCCAATCCATATCCTATTTAGCTCGGACTCGGATCGGATCAGATTCGAAATCGGATTAAATTAATATTTACTAACATATATAATTATAAAGAGTATGATTTTATTAGTATGTGTACTAAAAATTTATTAGCATGTGGATGAGAACACCACAATATTTTTATATAACATTATTATTATTTTGGATTTTTGGGTTACCTTTAATACAATTTTAATAAGAGTATTGATATATATATGTGTAAAATTATTGATAATATAATTTCAATCGGATCGGATCGGATCAGCATAATCCATATCCGATTTGACAAAAGTGTGTCTGGATCATCTCCTGTAACGAAATTCTTGTTATTCTTTCGTCCTAAAATATTTTTCTATATTTCTATTTTAAGATGTCTCAAAAAATATGTTCCATTCCAAAATTAAATGTACTATTTTTTATAACTTTTCCAAACTATCATTTTAATTAAACAACTGCATGAAGTACTATTTTGTCTTTTAGTAAGAACATATTTGAAACTTTACTCTTATCAATATAATAAAAAATTATTAAAATTCCACTACCATAAAAAGTTTGATAAACATATATTTTTGGGACAGAGGGATTATAATTTTTTTTTAACATATTTAAATCTATTTTTAACATATTTGTTCTAAATTTCTAACGATGTGTTGTGTGTTGAAATTTCTTTTCAACACATTAATTGTGTTTTAACACATTTCTTCTATGAATTAAAATATAGAACAAATGAATATTTATTTATTTTATTATTATTATTATTATTTTTAACAAGGCAAACATAGAACAAATGAGTTTGAATCATGATTTAACTGCATGGTAAAGTGCAAAATAGATATATAGTAGTATATATCTTAGTATGTGCATATAAATGCTCATCAAAAAGAAACTTTGCTCATTTAAAAATATATACAAATTGATGTACAAATTGATCATTGACCGTCAAAATATGTTCTTATTTGCTCAATTTTCATGTTTTTAGCAAACATGAAAATATTTGTACCTTCACTATATAACAGGAGAATATTCTTTTGCACTTCACCATTTAGATGGGCATCAAAAAGAAACTTTGGGTTTGTCAATTTGTGCTCACAATCACTCAAAATATTAAACATCAATCAGCACTAATCACCTCATAAAAATAACATCCTTCTATGGAGTCGATGTTCAAGAAATGGCCTTTGAAAATTTGAAATCGGCCACCATCTGCAAAAAGGTACATCACAACCAGAGTCCAAAAAAATAAAAATAGCAATAAACTATGAATTTAATGAAAAAATAAATAAGCAGTTCTTACACCAAGTTATTGTTCTAAAACTCATTCGCCCAAAGAACACCTGACTAATGTACATCCTCAAATTTACTGGTAACATTTATGGATTTAATTTCTAAACGGTTCGCAATCAAAAATCAATACTCACTCTATATCCTACAAAACTACATTTCCAACATTGATTATAAAATAGCAAAAAGGAAACTGCAAGGCTTGGATAAAAATATCATACATCTCAGAATGTGAAGGTCAGATCAACACGATCGCAACAAAATGGGACCTACAAATGAGCTGAACATCTCACTGAGTGCTGTCTGAACCTCATTTGACCCGTGCTCACAACTTATCAAGCTTGAAAGTAGGGGGAAGAAGCGAACCAAGTTCTTCTCAAACGACAAATCTTCTAAACCACATATAGCCTGGATGGTTGCCACAGTAAGAGGTGCACGTGCAGCCAACTCTCTTCGTTTTCCAGAACTCAAGGGGAGCAACCACTGGGGCTGCCTACTGAGAGATGACTCGGACATCTGTCCAGAATGTGCAATTTCGATATAGAACTGTAGCACCTCTTGGCAAAGGTTAACAAGGTAAGACTCCACTTCAGCTTCTTCGTAACTTGGAGGCCTATCCAGTGTAAGATTCTGTAAAAATGTAAGGCAGGTTTGATAAGCCTCATTCTCGAGCCGTAACAATGGAGGATCTTGCATTTGGGTCAGAGGGCCAAGGTCTTGTAGCTTTGAACGTAAAGTAGCATTACTATTTATCTTGTGAGCATGAAATGCCGCAGCATGCACAGCATTGAAGAGGACTAAGGTGTTTTTTGCCGAAAGTTGAGCTCTGTACATCATGTATATCTCCATCACTGCCTGCAAAATTCAATGACAAGGCTCATTTCCAATGCTCTGAAAACTAATATGGTAGCTAAATTATAATGGAGACTCTGGCTAAGATTGGAAGTTGTAAATTTTCGCTCATTTTACTCAAAATAAGTTTTTTTCAATCTATTTCTTTTTTGTCTTTCTGGTCTTTTGTGTGTTTTGTGCTTGTAATGCACACCAGCACGTGTTGGATGGGAAGAATATATACAAATATGGCAGGCCTCGTCTCATGAGTACAACTGTCCCAGTCTCAATTAAAAAGTTACTGAGACGAGCAAACCCACTATTTACGTAATGACAATGATGATGGTAATTAAGTGATGTGCATTATTCGAGAGAATAATAACTTCTACATTAAATATAAGTTTTTATTTAGACCATCAAAGGCTAGTCATGCATATAATGTTCCTATGTCAAATTTAAAAGGAAATAAATTATACATTAAAGAGAGGAAAGTACAAAGGATGAGGAGACTTCAACTCCATAAAACTAACAAAGTTCAAAGTTTCTAATAGTTGTAACTTTTTTTGCACAACATTCGAACTAAAAAAAGAGTGAAATAAAATATTAAATTTAGAACACAATTTCAAGTACACCCAGAGCCTCTACTCAACACGCACTAAGCAAAGGCGAAGCCAAGTACGCTCGGTAACTTACAGCCCTGGACTTCTGAATTTACATGCCTGTTTTTGCCACTTTTTCATCTCTTTTGGGAAGCATTACTCATTCACTATATAGACATGGCCAATGACCATGCATCTATATTTCTAAGTACTTGAGACTTTTAAATTCTGGCATCATTGCCAACTTGTTGAATTGCTATTGCGCTTTTACAATTACAAAACAGGTTCTGGATATTTATAGGTGCTCAATTTATGACTTCCTAAATTATTCCGTACAATTTTTTTTTTTTTTTTTTTTTTTTTTATTTCCATCCTACATCAATGCACGTCCATTTTGCCATTGAAAACAGCCCTGCAACACTTTCTACCTAGACCATCTTAACCAGTTTCTCTCAGCTTGTCCCCAACTGGTGCCTAACTCCAACATCTCACAAATTTGTTCTAGTCCAATATAGTCCCTTTTGTCTTGCTACAAACTCAAATCAACATAACCACGGCCATTTATTGAAGACTTTTCTTTTACACCACCTAGCATTTCTGGCTCATAAAACCTAGCTACTAGTATAATCCTCTTATAAGTAACACCTTCAGTTTCATAGGAATATGCTCATCATAAATCATTTTATGAGTCCACTCCCATCCCATAATAATTCTATGCATAAGATCCTCTCTGTTTATTCGATCATTATCTATAACTGAGCCCAGAAAATGAAAATTATCCACATTAAATCTTGACTGCTTTATCATTTTACATCTAGTTTTACTATAATTTAAAACACGTATTGAGTTTTAAGTCCCTTGACAATCCAAGTAGCATTTACCAGCTTCAACCTCATAAATTAAACTACAACAGCTACAGCAATCAAAATGAAATAAAATTTTAAGAACACAATTAGGTCAAATGATCAATAATTCTCATACTCCGCCTGCAGCGCATCATAGATCGTCAATGATCTCCTCAATTAAAAAATTAACATTCTTTATGCTTAAGTGGTTATTTGCTTCCAAGCTCCATGTAAATTCCATTTTCAAGCGGAATCGTTATGAAGTTTCTTTCCCAAGCTTTAGCTATAATCACTCCAATTCAAGTGATAGATCCTTTATTGAACCTAGACCATAGGCCTACCTTCAACAGTTCAACAAATCCAGTGGCTACATCATATAATCATAGTGGCTCGGTTTATAAAAGGCTAAAAGCAGATAACTTAAGAATGCCAACACAGACCTACTATACTGGATAAATTTAGTTAGTCATAAATATGATTATAAGTACATCAAGAAAGAACATTTCACAATATCTGAAACTAAAGTAATATGTAACTACCTGAATCAATAAAAGTAGTACAGCAGCTCGGCACTTAGCATCAGAAATAGCAGCATAGAGACTGTGTCTCCTTAGGCTCTCTGAATCGTCGTCAAGCGTATCAGATGCAGTAGCCTCTCCATCATTTTCTCTACTTGAAGCCTCGTCATGGCTTCTAACCATATTATCTACATCTAAAATATAGGAGAAATCAGGAAATGTTGTGTTAACTGCTTCTTTTAGGGACATAACCACTTCTAGCCACTTATCATCAGAAAAGAAAGCCCCAGCACTGCTCATCAATCGGACAAATGCAGCAATACCAATACCAGCAAGGCTTTGGTGAGGACGCTTGATAAAACTTACCAATAGCACCAGCACTTTCCTCAATAAAGGATTGACAGTGCTGTAAAATTTAATAAAAAGATCTACAACTAGTTGGAGGGCCAATGTGCATGTCTCATAGAGCCATGAATCTTGATCAAGCTCTCCTGTGTCACTATCAGTCCCCTGCCCAGGTGAATTTCCACCTGAAGGTTCAATACCATGCCTCACATAGTCAAATATTGGGAACAGGACCGATTCAAACACCCTTTCCCACAAAGGTAGAGAGAAAAGATGACCATAATTGCGTAAAGTATCAAAGAGGAATTGCAGGGCACTCTTTCTAATTTCAGGTCTGGGGTCAAAGCTAAGTTCCGACAATCCTGGGCAAAGAGAAGAAACACTATTATAAATTAACAAATCGGGCACATAAAATTGAATAGAATTATAAAGAAGGATAGCAAAAGGAGATGAAGTTTGATTCTCAATCAATTCAATATTCTTTGTACAATGAAAACCAATTTACACACTTTTCTTACCAGCCAACAATGGAAACCAGAAATAGAGATGATCTTCCTTGTCTGTCAACTCCCTGTGGTCTTCTTTCCCGTCTTTATCCTTATGAGGTGAAGGAAGAGAAATTTTAGCGGAACCTTCCTTGTCCTTGTTTGTTGATGATGAGCCTAGATCACCTTCAGCAAGCTTTGCCGCACAGAATTGAAGGAAACCAATTGCATCGAGACTAATATCCTTGCTGAATCTATTATTGGTGAATGCAATCAGGCAATTTACACAATCAGTAAAGGTCGTGGTTTCAGTCTCAGTAATATATGGAAAATAGTCTCGAACAATTTTCTCAATTATTTCAAAGGCCAAGAGTACAATGCTTTTGTGATCATCATAAGCTGCTGTTGTGAAGACCTGGAAAATACATAGTCAAAAAAGAAAAAGAAAATATTCACAATGTGAAGCATGAAAGTCAAGCACATAAAATTGATAATCAAAATGACAGACTAAAACCAGAACCCCCACTCAGTCCATCATAATGACACCAAGAAAAAAATTAACATAAAAATATAAGATCATAAAGGTTTTATACCATGAACATGCTCTTCCATCCCGATTTAACATAATTGACACGAGATAAAACCATTTGAGAGACACATCTGATGATCAATTCTCTGATTTCGACAGCACCACTCTTGCGCATAACAATTACAAAAGGCTTCATAAACTCATTCTGGAAATTATAATTAGCCAACTCTTCACGGTCTAAGAATTTCATTGATAACTGGCGTAGAGAATCCATTGCAAAAATTGCAATTGAAAGGTTTCCAGAACATCCAATGTTCACGAAGAAATCGGAGAGTACATGCCAAATGTTTGACCACACAAGCCTGATGCGATTCATGTTATAGTGCCTGTTCAAAAGAAGAAATCAAATTAATATTTTAAACAATTACTGGAAAGCAGCATCAATATAGCAACATTAAATCATCAATAACGTATGCTCAAGGTAGTAACAAGATGGAAATGGGATGATTTATACGCAATCTCAACTATCTTCGTAAGGCTGAAAACCCGTGGATCAGATGTAGATCGCAGTTCTTCCATAGAGACCTTGCAGAGAGCTTTAACAAAGTCAATTATCGCCTCACTATTCAACTTTTGACTCCTAGTAAATATGCGACTCATTACAGAGCTTCCAACTTGTTCCAACATATTTAAGTTAGAGACTAAATTGTTCATCTGTTCAGATGTAAGCCCACCCGAAGCATTGCCACCAACACCAGCACTATCATACGAACCCCTTCTCGCAGCAGCAGCTGTATACTGAATCTTCCCAGGTCCCTTCTTTTTTAGAACAGGAAGGACATTTGACTTGGCTTGTCTAGATTTTTCTAAATCACTCTGAGGGGTCACAAAAAAAGTAGCATCTGGAGGAGCGCCCTCTCCCAAGAGATGCAAATGCTCAAATCGGGATACACATGTCAAAATATGCTCCCAGGCTTCCTGTAAGTAATTCCCATCCTCATCTGCAATTGTAACTATTGCCTGTTGATTAAAGAATGCCAATCACAATGTCAGATCCACAAACAAATGGCCATTAGCTTAGAGTTGAAGAGATCATTACACAATTCAATTTAACTACAGATCTTGTTTACATGGTCACTATCCATAAAGCAGTTCTCAGTAAGTAGACCATAAATAATTATAGAAACCATTCTTTTTCAATCTTAAAGTTTTGATGATGTGATTCTTTCAACACATTTATTATCCACAAATAATTTTTTTTTATTTTTTATTTATCACAATCATAAAAATAAACAAATACCTTGCCCGGTCATTGAGAATACCATATTCAGACATTAATATAATAATGGAGCAAGCATGGTCAGTTTTCTGAATCTATTACACTTGTTAAGTTTGGGAGTGGTTCTTTAAGTGATGTAAATGTATTTTAAAGGCTAAAAAATCCCAACAATGCTCCTCTTGCCAGGACTACAATTACAGTAATATTTGTACCCCTTTCTTTCTCCTCCTCATAAAATCGCTCATTTTTTTACACAGCATAACATTATATTGAAGCTGAAGTAGCCTCCTATCCTAGTGAAACAGACTCAACATCAAATCAGACAATTTCAGATGTCTATTTCAGAAGTCAAAAAAGTAACGCTAAAAAAGCACTATCACCTAAATCCACCAATAATGTGATGCTCCAGTTAACGTCCCATGCCAGAACTGCTGCTGCCATCTTAGAACATCCACTACCATAGCATCCTTATCCACTACAAAGCTAAACAGGCATGGGAACGACTCTAGAGGAAATAGCAGCAGCAATGAACATGCCAAAAATTAACTCAAATCCTTTCATACTCTGAATATAATATGCTAAGAGAATCCAACCCACCCTTTCCTAATAGACTCCCACACTCTCATCACGTAGGAAATACTAATTTACAAGTCTGTCTCTCATGCCAATCATAACCCCCCACCAAAAAAAAATACTCGCATATTTCTCAATCAATCTCCAGCATAAGCTATCCCATTCCTCTAAATACCTCTACAAAGTCACTTCACCATTTGAGCTTGACTGAAGAGGCTTAAGTTTCTGATTCCCAACCCTCCAGCTTTCATTGGAGAACAAATAATGGCCCAATCAACCGGGTGATATTTGAACTCATTCCCAGTGCCCTCAAAGAAAATCATTCTTGAGCCATTGGGACTGGAATCGAGAATACAAACATAAGCCAGTAAAATAGATAACATAAGAGTACTTTTTATAAAAGTAAGTATAACAACAACAACAACCAAGCCTTTTTGCCAACTACTTGGGCTCCGCTACATGAATCCTATGTTTCCATTCTACTCTATTTAAGGCCACAGCCTCAGTCAAGTATGTCTCCTTAATATATATTACCTCTTCCTACCAAACTATTTCCTTTCAAAATGTTCCATGCTGAATAACAAACCACCTAAGCTTAAAGGAGGAGGCAAGGGGGAGCCCCAAGTAACTGAAAGAGACACAACCCAACACCCCAGACATACTGCCAATCTGCTATCATCATCCACCTCACACACCAAAACAGAACTCTACCCTAAATCTACCCTCAACCAATACATTTCTTAACATGTAAAAGCACAGATATGAGTTACATCAGCTGATCAGAATACTAGTTTCATCCGCAGAAAGTAAGCGGACAACTAGCAAAGGAGTTCCCTTGACTGCCCCAGTCTCAAACCCCCTCAGCATGCCATCCTCAAAATTTAGGGTATCAAACTGCTAAATGCCTTCACTAAAGAGCAAACCCAATGCACGAGGCTCCGCTCCTGCCATTGCGGAGTCTGGGGAGGGTCAGATGTATGCAGCCTTACCTCCGAATGCAAAGACGCTATTTCCTTTTGTGAAATATTTTTTTCGAACTCGTGACCTCCAGGTGAGCAACCTTACCGTTGCGCAAAGGTTCCCCCTCAAATGCCTTCACTAAAATTAAACAAATTATGTTGCATACTTGTATTTATGGGAGGGATGAGGAATCTGTGAACAGTTTGTATCATTACCCGGTGCAGACAAATTTGTAAGCTATGCCAATTTTTTGTTTGTACAGTGGCTGATGCCCACCTCTGCGTCTGAGGCCTTGACGAGCTGCCTGGATGCCGAATTGGTAGGCAAGTCAGAGCAGTGTGCCAGGCAACTTCATTATGCCACCTGCGACGTCTTCAGAGTTTGAAGGAAAAGCTGATTCATTCAAGGGGTAAAGTTGCCAGTTTGGAAATTAGAACACCTCATCCAAGTTAATTGTTTTTGGGTTGCAAAAAATAATTTTAAGTTGTTTTAACAGATCCTTTTTGTAGATTTTTTGGGGATACAAGGATATAGATTTTGTGTATGTCCAGTCTAAACCGTTTGTGTCTCCTTTTGGAACTTACCTGCAAAATGCTTATCTATATACATGTGTGTGTGTGTGTGTGTGTGTGTACGGTGTCCAAATAAATTCAGTATTAGACGCCTTTTCGAAGGATGTTGCAAAGAAAATGAAGAGAAACCCCAAGGGGTTGGCTCAAGTGGGTAAGAACTTGCCCTGGTCCCTTCAGAAGTATCAGGTCTAAGGTTTGAATCTTCTTGGGTGCAAACAATTCCTTGAAGAGTGGGGAGAGGGGGTGAGTATCAACTAGGAAAAAAATGAAGAGAGGAGTTTCTACAAGTTCTCCTTCCTACCTAAGTTTGAAGATAAATCAACAAGTGGTCATTAATTGTAACAGACAAATAAATTACAGAGCAGTATCCATTGACTAAAGCAAAGAAATCAATACAAGGAAAAACCCATTCTCTATTGCTCCCTTTGTCATAATTTCATGGTAACTTTAGATTCATTACAAAATTAGAATAAAGCCCATGAGATATCGTCCCTATACTGGAGAAGCCACTCACTTTCTTCAACAATAATATTGATAAAGGACCTCAATTAGAAACAGTGAATCAAATCTCTACACTAGCTTAGGATCATTTTTTGCTAACCTGAGCTTTCGTGGTAAAAATTATAGCAAATATCTGGACATCAGAGAGAAACCATTCAAACATTTTCATTGTATATAAACTTATCACACCTTTTCTTCTCCTATTAAAGCTGAGATTTTGGATCTTTTCAAGGGACCTTAGTGAAACACATTCTATTGTACTGAAAAATATTCTATGTGGTCATCACACTGAAGAAACCACTACACTTTGTTCAGTAAGAGTATGAGATGAGACTTTGGTATATGGAAACGGTGAATTTGAAATCTCTAGGCTCGAGTGGGATCAAGGAAATGATGATAGTGGTTTTAAGTCTATAGGCTAGTGTAGGATTGTCTTTTACTAACTTGAGCATTCATCATGAAGGTTTGTGGTCTAATCATATTCATAACATGTAAGCATATTATACCATCCTATTCTTTCTTCGCTCAAAGTAGAGATTTTGGCTCTTTTGAAAGACATTCAAGACACCCATTCTATGGGTTAAAAGTATGCTTGCTGAGGTGATCCTCAGTTGATATTAGATGGATAAAAGGTGTAAAGTGGGCTGCCCACCACTCCATGTTCATTTGACTCAGATTTATCAAAAAAAAAAAAAAATTGCTCATTTGACTAGGGAGCTTTTGGGATTTTCTAGAGTGATTGATGTAGACTTATATAGAATCCTCAAGGCAGCCATTTGAGGGCAGAAACTATTGAACATTTTAATAGATTGTATGACCCTAATTAAGTTTGTCCAGGTGTTTGTTCATGTTTTCTGCTTTCTTGTACCTTCTTTCCTCTTCTTACCCTTGTTCCATGAATGATGCTTCCTTGTTCCTGTAATCCCGTGTTATTTTTCCACTTTGTAATGTAATTGTGTTTTTTGACAATAAAATAATAAATGACTTCAAATCCCACTCACAAAACAATAGAAGAGGGCAGTAAAATACTGCAGTTTTTTCTTATGGTAAAGAAAATACAAGAAAATTACTGAAAGAGATTATAGTCTTCTACAAGACTACGACCATCAAATGCAAGGGATCTTTTCTATCGAAGGAAATCAATTTTAAAACATAGGATTCATTATTAACATCACAAAAGCCCCAGTAGGAACCCTCACAGTAAAACATTCTAGGTTGTTCTTGTCAAGTATTCAAGTAAATGAGAAAACATTTTATACCAACCTTAATGGCATCTATGTTTTTTTGTTTGATATCAGCAGGTGAGTGAAGGGAAGTGAACTTTGCTAGTGAAGTCACAAAAGCGTCTCTATGTGTCTTCATAGACATTACTGCAGTAACATGGATTGCATAACGGAAGCCTTCAAGACACTGGGCTATTACTACTGCATCATCACTTTGGTCAAGAGGAACACTGAAGGCCGCCAATACAGGAGCCCAACAAACCTCAATCATGAATCTAAGGATCACCACATCTGTTGCTGCGTAATAAGCGGACCTACAAATTACCAAATCATTTAGATATCAAGAGGAAAATCTAGCATAGTCAAAATGAAATATTAAACTTGACAGTCAGCATGTGAAGGAAAAAAAAAAAGGCTCAACAAAACCACAACTTCAACTACTTGAACACAGCTACATGATTTCTATAAACACCATACATCCATATTTAGAGCAAAATCTTCCACTCAGTCTTTGGCAATCACACCTTTTGTCTCAGCATCATTTCATTTTCTTTTTGTTGGAGCTTGATATACATTGTTGGGTCCATTTTATAACAGTTTAAGCTTTTGGAGCAATTGGTATTCTAACATGGTCTCACAGATTTTGTTTTGGGAGGTTTTGGGTCTAAGTCTCCATAAATACATTAGTTCCATACTTTAGTAAGTTTCAACTTTGTTAGTTTGGTTTGTTTGTCTCACCAAGTGCAAGACGGGGTTGGTCATGAGGGAGGGCGTGGAGTTTGATATACATTGTTGGACCCACTCAACAGTTTTAAGCTTTTGGAATAATTGGTAGTTCAACACTTTTTGCCCTTCCTCTTGTTCTAAGACATCCTCAACTTGAACCAAGTCACTCCTTTTGAGAGAAACAAGTGAATAATAATAATAATAGTAATAATAATAACAATAGCAATACCATTATTTAAAATCATGCAATAATTAACCGTTTGTTCATGTGAAAAAAAGAGATGACTAGAGCAGCAAGAAATGGTATGGCTTCTTTCCAGGGCACTGCAAGGACAAAGGGGAGAATCAAGAAGACATGGATTTATGCAGTGAGAAAAGAACCAATGCCTCATGAATTAACATACAATATGGCCCAAAAAAGAGCAGAATGGCATAAAGGTTCTAATGCAAACTCTAAGTAATTGGGATAGGCTTAGTTCAGTTGTATGCCTTATTAGAAATACAAGTAATTGTAACTAGCAGCAGGTAAAGCAATCATAAATTTGTAGCATAAGAAGAGTAATTTAATCTTACTCAGACTTGCGAGCTTTTTCCTTGAATTGTTCTTGCATGTGTCTCATGAGATCATCACTGGTCTCCATACGATTTTCTTCTCCTCGCTTGCGTATCACAATATTCAATATACTGTCCAAGCCTAAAATTCTATTGGAGTTTATGGACTGCCTCTGTTGAAGATCCAAGTCGTCATCTTTCATTTTGATCTCATTTCTTGATATCCGTTCAAACAATGATCTCACATAGTCCTCGGGTAAATCTTTTTTATCATCTATACCACGGTTATTTCTTATAAAATCATCAGCAGACATCTACATATTTTCATGACAAAAAAGGAACAAAAAGAACTTCATTAAAATTATGTGTTAATTATCCAATCAGTTCAAATGAATGTTATGGTATACCTTGTTCTTAACCATAGGGTTATGAGCATCAGTATTGAGCATAATAATGGAGTAAGCAAGGATGTATGCAGTGTCTGCACTGGTGAAAGCCTTGGGATTACATTTGCAATAACGTTGAGCAAACTTCAACATAATACGGTCTATCTTTTGTGCCTCACCAGGCAACCTAAAGCCCTGTAGAAAGGCCCTGATTGCCTCATCGAACTCCATACCTTGGAATTCAAAGGAATCCACATATGCATGCATTACTTTCAGTGATAACTCATCCCTTTCCCCCAAGTAATCACCAATCATAGTCTTGTTCAAATCAGATGCATTTTTCAGGAACGCTGCTATCTCTTCCGGTGAGCTCCCCACTTTATTTGCCTTTATCAAAAATTCAATTCCTTTTTTTGGTTTCCGATTAAAAAGAGATATACCTTCCTGCCATGAATTTTACATTAGATCCCATGGGCAAAATCCAAATGAAACAAGTCAGAGAAAATAACTGTTTGCACTGAAAGCACTTCAATCTTTATTTACCTGAAGTTCAAGCTTGTAAGCCCGGCGCTGCTCAATTGCCAAAACATCAGAAACTTCACTGGAGGTTTCGGAATGAGACTCCGGTCCTTCAACAGGCTCATCTCCATATCCATTTGCCATCGGAAGACTTCCAGGTTCATGGCTGTTTTCAGCCACTTCCGATTTCTTTATAGAATGAGGATCTGGAATGCGCAACTGTTTGTTCATCCAGTCTCCCATTGATTTCAAAATAGCCACTAAACACTTCATAGCTTCAAGTTTCATGGTCGCATCCTGAGGTGGCAGCAACGTTGTAGCAGCACCAGGCGGGACACCTTGAGCAGTTTTAAGAAGTCCATTGACCATTCTGTAAGGATAAAGATAGCAAATAGGAAACATACACAAAACCTGACCAAATCAAACTCACTCCAACATGCTCTATCTATTAAGAAGGCAAATAATGTGCCAAAAGAGCTGTTCTATCAAATTTTAAAAATTTATTTCAATTTTTTGGCATAATTGAATCATAAACCAAGTTTGAACAACAAAAGCTTGAACATAGATACCTCTCAAATATGTTTGATGAATTGACATCACAATCATAGTTAATGAATATGTCTACCAAAATTTGTGAATCAACGCAGAGCTTCTCAAGAAACCGAAGTACTATCATCTTCTGCTGAAAATTAGGTTGAGCAACATTTTCCAGAACTCTTAGAACAATCATAGGAAAAAATACTCCGATTTCTGCCTTCAATCCAGCTCTAAATCTTGACACCAGACTAATGAAAATGGAGCAAGAAAGCTGGAAAACAATCATAAGGGTCGAAGCGCTGTTCTTCAATAACGAAAGACACAAGTATTGCTTAATGGCACCTAGAAATCTGTTTCACCACAAGAAAGTTCAGAAGACTGAATTCATAATCAAGGGACTTGATTAGTAGAAATTAAAAACTGAAACTTAGCCTTGTTGCAAAGTATAGCTGGAAAGTAAGAGTATTAAAAAAAAATCAAATAAAAAATTAAATAAATGGTTGAATCATACAATAGAACTATCATTGTGCACATAAAATAGTAAGGTGGAGCCAGCTTGCTTGCTTCTTTTTGTCTCCTGTAAGGTGGCACTGTATTAAAATCAAAATTGTATATACAGGAACACCTTAATATTTTTTAGACGCCTTAGTTTCTGATGGCGAAAAAAGGAATTTTAAGATGGATATTTTATAGATATGTGTAGCCCCACCCCTGGTGAGAACTGTTTGCTCATAGGCAATGATTCAACATCGAAGCAAGCATGATCTGCTGAACAGCAAATTTGAATATGCACAAGTTCCAAATTACTAGCCCGTCACATAATTCAATCCCCCATCAACCACAATGAGCCAACAACTACTCTCCAACTCACCTGTCCCTGAGCATTTTTTAATAACCCAAAAATTCAATCTGAAAAACTTTATAAACAACTAAAAAGTGGTCATTTCACAACATTGAATCCCTATTATGCAGGGTGTTGGGAAGATTATGAACCTAATTATTGACATTATTTTGCATGAAGTATCTCCTCATGAACTCAACCCATCTTTCCATACTTGATGACCTAAGATCTGGCATTGTACTAAGCAATGGCCTTAGTCCATAACTGAGAACGCCTGAAATGCCAGTATATTTTTTACATTCAAATATTTTTATATCATACTAAATTTCAAGATTCCACTTCATTTACGAACATGGTTTAGATATCATACATATAATTGAAATTTAAATCTTGAACACTTATAATTAAGGAAAGACAGTTAAAGCCCTGTAAAGATGTCTTCATTTCATTTGGAGGATGATAAATCACTTATACACATATAATTCTTCACTAATCAACAAAACTCAAGAAAGATGAATTTTTTAGAGTTCATTTGTAGATTTGCATCGGTAATTCTACAGCTATGATTAATTTACCAACAAAGGGCGAAAATCCCAGAATGCTACTTACATTCATAACATGGAAAAGTCACCAAACATTTAACGAAATGAACACAAACTAGCACAATGTAGCACATAGATCTGCGGGTTATAGAAGTACCTTTCACTGGTCCTAAAGATAGCACCTGCATTCTCCAACAAAATTTTGAGCAACTCCAAAGCCACGATCTTGCCCCGCATCAACTGTGGATCTGACAATGCCTCTTTCGGCGGCGTCTTCATGGATAGCTTACAGAGAGCTCGAAACACCAAAAATGCATCTCTCCGCAACTTATTCCCAATCTGAACCTCCAAATCTTCGTCCCTCTCTGCCTCTCCGTCTGCCAATTCCCCTTTCCGTCCTTCCAATGCTGTCTTATACATACTAATCTCCCAATACTTGGCATCCAACATATCTTTATCCGTGGAATCCAACAAATCCGCCGGATTAGTAGACTCCACAGTCGGCCTCGTCTCAAATGCCCCGTCGTGGCTCCCTCCCGACCCAGCACCCCTCCCCGGCGTTGCCGGATTGAACACCCCATCAATGTCCTGCATAATCTTAGTTATGAAACCCTGAACGAACATGGTCGTATTGGCGTCAGCTTCTGCCTTCTCCGCCGGCTCCATCAGCTCCGCAACCACAATGGGCTGCACCGGCGCTGTAGACGAGTCCGCCTCCATCCTCCGAAACACAATCACCAGCATCTGAATTAGAGATGCCTTCGCCGTCGTCTGATTCACCGCATTCTTACTCCCCAAATATATATCGTAACAAGTCCGCACAATCTGCAACAAGCAATCGCCATGTATCCTCAGCGATACCGACGTCACCGCCGATAACAGCGCCTTGAGCACCAGCAATTCAACTGCCTCGTCGCCCAAATCGTGACATTTACACACCGATTCGATCAGTCTGGATAGCAGCTTCGTCTCGGGGCCTCCGGCGGGGTCCGCCTCGCCGCGAAGGTAGCCGTGGGCGATCAATTTCTGGATGCAATCGACGGCGGGATCAGCGATCTTGACGTTGCCGGAACTGCAGGCGTTGATTATTGGGGTGAGTATGAAGTCGCAGTCCGCGAGGGAGTATTCGGCGGTGGGGCCGAGGACGCCGGGGAGAGATGAGGTGTCGGGCTCTGATTGGTCGTCGGGGGAGGTGGGAGAGAGAAGTGGCTTCTCCGTCGAAGTGAGTCTCTCGAGGAGGGATTTGCATTGGTGGACGAGCTTGGAGTGCTTGCGCCAAGAGCCTTGCTTGATGATCTTCTCTAGGGCTGGGATAAGGACCTGATTCAGACGGGAATCGGCTTCCGAAGAAGCCATTCCCGAGGGGTGAGAGATCTCGATGGAAACTGAAAATTAAGGAGTTCTTGAGGGTTTTTTTAGTCTTTTTAATGAGCTCAGTAGGGGTGGTTACAGTGAGAGATCGAATCAGTGGATTAACGTAGTAGTTTGAAGTTCGTTTAGAGAGAGAGAGGGGGGGAAGAGGAGAAGGGGTAGAGAAGAAACTGCAGAGCGCGTCCGCCGTCTGTTATTTCCTGGTCGAAAGTCCGAGTTTACCAGGTGTTATAATGGCTAAAATACCCTTCGCTCTCTGTTGGTTCAATATTAGTTTTTTTTTTTTTTTTGGGTTCGGAAAATGAAGCAACTTCAAAATTAAAAATTGCTATTATGTAATAGTGCACCAATCGCGGGAGGGTTAAATATAAGCAATGCAATGCTGGCTTCTTGTCCCATTTTGAATCCAAATGAGAAAGATTGTGGCCACGTGTATGAGGTATCAATTGCAAAAGCTCAACGGATTATAATTGATATCAAAGTAGCCTTCATTAAATAAGATAGAGTGGTCTAATTTGCGAATTTGAATTCTCACATTTTTAAATCCAAATAGAGAAGTTCATGGATTTAAGTATGTAGCACCACACAAAGCTTAAGCTTCTGTATTGTTGGTTCACATGAAGAGATTTTGAAAATATTTTATTTGAGGCTTTTTAGTTTTATAATATACAATTTTTTTTCTTTTTTTATTATTATTATTTTTTTTGGTGCGAAACATTTCAACTACACATCCTTTTAACTTATTACTTCAAGTTAAATCTTTTTTTTATTTTTTATACGTTTTCCTCCTAATAAACTCCCACTCTAGAGAGACTTGAAGCTTATAATTCTCACTTTAAAAAGAGATAAAGATAATACTGTATCACATACTTTAATGATAATATAAATATTTAAGATGTACAAAGTTGCCTCAAAATAAAGCGCGCACCAATTTTATGTTTCAGACTCACAATTTCAATGCCGGGATCCTATTCATGGTCAAATGTTTTGATTCACAAATAGGACCTTTATTGATCTATGCATTAATGGAATAATAATGCTTTAATCGAATTTGTTGCTCAAGTTAACATAAAAACTTGACTGTTAAAGATTGATAGATTTGTGTTGCATAATCTTGTAAAATGTCTTTTTTAAAAGTAATTAAATGTAATAAAAATATAAAAACCATATATGTTTTATAAATGCAGGCATTAAAATAGTATATCCAGAATCAATACTTGATTCTTAATAAGAGGGTTGATTATCTAATATGTTACATAAATAACTAAATTAAATTTTTTCTTATGACATTAATTAGCTCAATGATATCCCACTAGTTCCTTTTCTTATGACATTTTAAGTCATGAAAAATAGACTGCTTGGAAATCTTATAATTGTGTGGTTGTTCTCTTTTTCTTTTTTTCGTTATTATTATTAGTATTTTTATTGTTGTTATTATTAGTATTATACCGGTTCTTATTGTTGTTGTGCTGACACGTGTTTTGAATATTCTCAATTTCTCATGAACGGTAATAATGCTGTAAGTTGGAGGGCATTTTGGAGAATCCGTATCGCGCTCCAATCTCCATGTCTGCATGAATAATCAACGTTGACAATAATTGCCGATTTCCTCTATTCTACGCATGTCTCCTCCAGTGACCATCATTCACTATCAATTTGTGCCCCCGGTGGGTGTGAGATTAGTATCTTTATCTAATAAATAAAATAAACTAATATTTTTTTTCATAATTTGTATCTTATAATTATTTTATAAGATACAAAAACATTACTCTCGTTAATTTTAGTGAAGCACGTCATCTTGAATTGTTTTTTCTATCAAGTTATAAATTAAAAAAAGTTACTAATCAAACATGAAATTTATTTTTCTTCTATATTTTTTATTTTTTCCTTTTTATTAGTAAAACCCCACACAAGAGAAAAATGATATTAACCTGTATAACCAAACTCAACCTCCAAAACTTAAAGTTATTTATGCAAATTTATTGACAGACTAGAAGCAAACGTTGCGTGTAAAGATCTAACTTGAGCTTTTTTGGGTTCAAACTCAAACCATATGAGAACTGTATATTGTCCAGGTCCAGGATAAAGCTGGGTTAAATTGGGTCAGGAAAGCTAAAGATATCCAAGTGGGCCATACATCGAGACCAAAACTTCCAAGAATGAGTGGAGGGACTTGGGCTGAAAGCTCCATCCGGCCCATATATCTCACTTCTAAGTTTCCCTTATTCACTCACAAGTCACAGGATTCACAACGCAGTGCAATTCGTTCCTGCTCCCTGAGGGGTATTTAATACATCTCAATTAACGCAGTCATTAAAAATTTTCAATTTGGCTTATTATACGAAAAATTATAAGTTTTTTAAAAAAAAAACATGATTGTTTATTACTTGGACGTATCACATAGTAAATATCCTTGATATGGTATATTTTCTCCTTTAAAAGAACAAAATCTCTCAGACTCTCTCTATTATTCCCGGAGAGAGAAAAAAAAAAAAAAAAAAAAAAAAAAAATTCTCTCTCTAAACTTGCACATTATAGAACTATTGTTGTTGAAAATTCAGAAGAGTAAGATTTATTCTACATACTCAATTAAATTTACTTGTATATACATTTCTTCTGTTACTGTAAATATGCCATGTTGTAATTATAAATTGCTTGTTTATGTTTTTTTAACACTCACAACTTGACAAGTTAATCCAATTCATTCAATTTATGTTATGTTTGAGAGCATCGATTTGATACCGTCAAACATAACATTAATATATATAAACCACATTTGATAACAACCCACAATATACATTTGCATGACTTCTTAAAATCCTATAAATTTTTTTATTTTTTTGGTTAAATGGGTAAGCTTTATAAAAGGAAAAAATATGTACAAAATAGGTCCATCAAAGGACACCACAAGCCAAAGGAACATTATCCTTGGCAGAAAATTAAAGAAAAACCACTCCTAGCCATTTCAAGTCTAAGCAAACAAATCTGACAATAATCAACATCATAATTTTCTGAAGTGCAAAAACAAATTAAAGCTTAAGTATGAGGAGAATCAAAGCAGAAACCATGATTGGCCTTTGGCAAATGAACATCCTTGCATGAAGAGTTGTTGCATGGCCTCAAGTGTACCAATCTTCCTTATCTCTACACCATTCTTTAGCTAAAGTGAAGCAAATCTTGCTCTGATGCATCCCTTAATGAGGTGAATAATGTGGTTGCCTACAGTCGACTTATTTCGAAATGCTCTTGCACTTCTCTCCTACCAAATGAAATAGATGGCACTTGAAAGGAGTAGTTTATGAGTTACGAAATGATCCTAAGTCCATGTTGATGAGCACCAAGCAATCAAATCTCTCCAATTGTTTGGCCTGATGTAGAATCCCGCTGCATGCTGGATGAAGACCCAAATGGTACTTATGTATTTGCATTTGAAGAAAATGTGGTCAATTGATTCCCCTTCTAAAAGACACAAGTAATAGGCATTGGTGTAATGCTTCTTCAACATTGGCTTGGAGTGGATAATCTCCCCTTGAGTGCAAGCCATGCAATGTATCCATGCTTTGGAATGTGGTGTTTGAACCAAAAGATGTGATCCCAGGCAAAAACCAGTGAAGGAGGAGTGAAATACGCCATTGTAAGTCTGTGTGAGTAATCTTTGGATGCACTTGGTAGCCATATTCTACTTGATCATTATCATTTGATGGGGGGAGGGATATTCTGAAGCTGTGTGATGAAGGATTGGTTTTGGAAGAATGGAACATGATGTAACGTGCTTGGAACTTCCCACTAATTATTGAAAATTAGGCTATCAACTTTGACTTGAGGCCGGGCCCAGTTGAAGAATTTCTATATAAGTGAGTCTTAATTGAAGTGAGATAGGACCATTTGGTAGCCAGTAGTCTAACCACATGCTTGTGCAATCTCCAGACCCCAATTTGTGCCTTACTAGTGCCCTAGCCATACTTCTCAGCTTGAGAAGTCTTCTCCAAAAGTCTAAGCTCGGTGAGGAAGTTTTGACGTACAGTACAAATGCTCTTAGCCTTAATAAGGTACTGTAAGTCCAAGCCACCCATAAATTGTCCTATCTAGAGCATAACCTCCATAAATGCTTGAGGCTTGACACTTTATTTGTGAGCTCAATGTTCATCTGATATATATCTATTTCTTGGGTACTGGTTGTCATTTTTTGAATTCGTTTAATCAATTGTAGGCAAATTACTTTGTTTTTCTTGACACATGCTAATACCCTTTTGCTGCTCTAAATGTCTTACTTGTTCTATTTGACTTGGTAGGGATTGCCCTCATTTTTGTGTTCTTCACATAATATTTTTAAAATTTTTTTTTTTTCACTAAATATATTGTAGTCAACAATAACAAATAAACTTTTTCTAGCTAGTTGGGATCCGCTACATGAATTCTATTCTTTTATACCTCCATGACAACATCAAACTGAACCACATTGATACCACTTCCACGTACAAGAAATTAGAGGACCAAGTATATATCCTAGAATTAATTTGCTTAAAAAAATAAAAGAACTTCAGCAATTCAGATTAGAAATGAATGTAATTTAGAACCATTATAGCGTAATTTCACCGAATGTAATCCATGGACATAGTTTAACTCCTAAACATATTATAAAGGGAACAATAGTTTAACTCCTAAACACATATAAATGGAACAAAACATGATGCAAAGTTACATGTATAAACTAATACTCTAAATTTCACTGTTGTTTCAGGAAAAAAAAAAAAAGAAAAAAGAAAAAGGGATCAGTAATTTAATTACTTGCCCACTAAAGTTAAAAAGAAAAAAAAGGAATTGAAATCCAAAGAAGGACCCAAATGTCATGGGTCCCGGGGCAAATACCAGTTAATTGGGTCAGTATGTCTCATTTGCAGTGGGGTGGCAAAGGAGGAGAATCAGTGCATGGAACTGGCGGAGACCCATGTCTGTGTAGAAGTTCTCGTGCCAGTGCTTGTAGATCACCACCTGTACTGACTGATGATGACATCTCCGCCATACTTCTGGTGCAACCGGGTTGGCGTGGATCCATTTGAGGCTGCTGGATAGTCCACGAAGCCTGCATCATTGGCTCAAAAAGCGATGATAAGTCGTATGTGGCGGGCACGGAGGACGCCGGTGGGAGGTCTGCTATCGAAAGGGATGGCGGCGTGAGGAGCATTTGGGGTGGTGGAGGTGGTGCTGGTGGAGTTGGAAGCTCTAGTGTTGCAAGGTGGGCTTGTAGGTATGAAAGCTCTGCTTGTAAATGCACCACCTGAGTGTAATGCCAGGATGCAAAAATAAAAACATTTTTATGCTGAATGTGCAAAAATTTACTGATGTTAAAAACAAAATTCCTACATTTTTCAAATTGAGAAAATAAGAACATTTTTTAATTTAAAGTCTAAAATATCTAAAATGCCTTTAAAACAAAATAAAAAATACTTATATACACAAACTTTATTAAGGGTATTTTGAGGTTTATATTAAAAAAATGATCAAAATAGAAAATCAGGGAACAATTTGTTACAAAATTTCAAATTATAGGAATTTATATATACATACTAAATAAAAAGAGTGTTTTTTGCATATTTTTTATATAATTTTTTTTTACACTCACTGTATTTCTTTTTTCTTTAAATGATTTTAGAAACAGAATATATACTAAACTAACTACATTGTAATTATTTAAAAAGAGAATTGAAATTTTAAATAAGTTAAGCAATATGTCTACAAATTTCAAAGAATTATTAATATTTTTTTTTTCAATTGGAACCACTTCAATGGGAGAGTGGCTTACCTTAGAAGCAATTGAACGCTAAGAATATATACATTGTATTCAAAACATATATATATATCTATAATAGTACAAAAGGCATGTGCATGATCATGGAGTATATATAAGGTTGTTTTAGAAGTGGACAAATTGGTAACAAGATGACGCCTGAAATTGTTAATCTTTTTGGCTTATATGCTTGATGGCCTTAATCATTTTCTAAGTTTCTCTCTCTTTCTCTATAGCATGTGGTACTACTCTATTATCCATAAGAGGGCAAGTGGAGCAACAGCTTTCTAATTTAACCCAAGATATTTACCACCCACCTAAATATTTGCATTGTAATTAACTTAATTGTATAAACTCAGCCTAATTAGATACCTACAAAGAAAAATAATTGCAAAACTATATATGTGTTTTATGCATGTTTCTTTTACATATATAAATATATATTTTTGTAACTTATTACATTAAAAAAAAAAAAAAAAAAAAAAAGAAAGAAGGCCATGCATTGTTATAAGTATGCACAAAAGATGCATGTAGACGGGGAAGAATACAGTATAGTGTAAATATTTACAGATATAAAGTAGGTGTTTTTATATTTTTATTTAAAAAAATACATTTTTCTAATAATTGCATATTTTAGACTCAATTTGAGGCCACTCTTAGATAATTTTTTTTGGTAATCTTTTAGTACATCTAGAACAAGAACAAGAACACAAGACTGCATATGATAGTCTGATGGGTGACAAATTATAAGGTGCTCTAAGAAAGTCCGCCACCATCATAATTTATATATACATGAGTGATAATAGAGAGTCCGGTTATTAATATATTCAACTAATTTTTTTTTTTTTCTACTTGGTACTCACACACATTGCCTCTACTGAAGTTCAAATTCCTGATTTCTTTTTAAAAAGTAAAGACTTTATATCGCTAAGTCATAAACCTATTGATTTTCAACTAATTTTATTTGAATATAAGCTAAAGTCACCGTGACAATCCACACTCAGTGGACTTCTTTAAATTATTACTAGTATTCTATATGAATATATATACACACACATATGTACATATGCAAAGAACCTGTGTACGCATGTTATACTAGTACATGCAAACAGTCATGAGGTGTAACGGTACAACCTAATAAAAAGGTAATATTAATGCTAGATGGTGTAGGCTACCCCTATATATATATATACAACTTGATATGATGTGTTTATAAACCCAAAAACAAGAAAATGAGGAATGGAGGTGACCCTTAAAACAGTAAACCGACCATCTCCTTAATAGCTGCAAAACTTGTAGAGTGTAGAAAAAGAAAGTGGGGGCACTGTACCCCCTGAGTATTGTAGTGTTCTCCGACCATATCATAACTTAATCAATCAAAACCTACCTTCTAGATTTCAGCAAAGCATGAAAGTGTTCCCCCAATGTAGCACATCTTGGTCCACACTTTCTTGTGCCCTCATTTTCTTCCCTCCTAAATAAAAAAAATAAAAAAATTATATATATATACACACACACACAACCCCCGGCCCCCTCTCAAATATACAATAGAAATGACACTTCACACATAAGTATATAGTATTTATATATACATATATGTATATATATACACATGCATATAAATGTATATATAAATCAACATATATACATATATGTGACACAGTGACAACACAATTCTTGAAGTTTACTTCAATGTAACCTTAATCAGACTTAAAAATTCAACAACCAAGGACAGATCCCTTACACCACTAGTATCAATGTAGATTAATCCCATATACATTTCTATCACTATATCACGTTTTGTTCCATACCATATTCCCTTTCAATCTAGTGATATCATATTTCTCTTTTTTCAAGCTAGCATTAACTCTACCAATACAAATTTCTTCATGATCCCGTAAATTATGGATTTCACATACTGTAACGTACTTGTGTGTCTGAGAGAGAAAAGTGCGCGTGTATACATATATGCACTTTATGAAGGAAAAATACTGGGCATTTTTAGATATATACCAAAATGTGATATAGCATGTAAAATTCACTCTGCCAAGTAACAAAAATGACAATTAAACCTACCCTAGCTTGAAAAGGACAATCACACACAAATGTACACACAAACCTAAAGTAACGTACACACTACACACACAAGATATGAACCACTCGACAGGATTCAATAGAAAGAAATAGAAATTGAAACAACAAAAGTTATTAGAAAAGAGGGCTGTTTTTATAATACGAAGTTTAGATCAAATTAAGTGAGCATGCACCATGAGTAAACCTACACTTTATGGTGACAAATGGGGTGTGTGTATGTGCTGTTTTTCTTTTTCTTTTTCTTTTTTCCTTGGAAGTGCGTCCAAATTAAAGACTATTAAGAGCAAGCCCAATTAAACTCTGGTCATTCTAGGTTTGGAAAGTGAGTATGTAATTTTATTACTAAACTATTTTCTTAATTTGAACCGGTGACCTTCATATCACAAATTAATTAGGAGGTCGGAAAATGAAGAGTGGAGCATGTACATACCTGTTGCTGGAGGGCAAAGATGTGAGCAACACAACCATAGACAGGGTCTCTAAGCCGAGCCTGTGCCTCGTAACATATGGTGACCACCGCGTCGAGCCTTTTATGGACCGGAATATGAAGCAGAAGCTTGGACACGTTGCTCGCTCCGAACACCTTGTGAACCGCCGCAAAATGAGCCGCACCTTGTTCCGAGTCAAAGTACGGCGCGAATATGCACCCGGCCACGCACTTCCTCCTTAAAAACTTGCAAGCCCCACACGGCCCTCCACCACTGCTGCCGCCGCTGTTCCCGCCAACACCGCCGTCACCACCACCGGTGGTGCTGCTGCTGCTAGGGTTTGCACTCATTTTCTAGCGGGGAATTTTGTTTTTTGGATTGTAAATCATACAATTAGCTAGGGATTGTGGGGGTCGATGTTGAAGATGAGAGAGAAACAGAGAGAGAGGGTTTGTTTGTTGGTTTTTTTTTTTGGGGGGTTGGGGGTTTTAAGCATTAAGTGAAGTCTTTAAAGCCACGCGATGAAGCAAACCCCATTTAGCTGCTTGCGTGAAGCAAACATGCGATAAGCCAACAGTTTTTTATTGATCTACCTTCAATCTCGTGAATTTAGCTTCCAAAGCTCATGTTTTCTTCTCTTTAGTTTCACCCCCTCTCTCTTTCTATAGTGTATATATATGTGTGTGTATGTATATAATATACATGTATATGTATATGTGTGTCCATCCAAGTTTGCTTAATTTTTAGATACATCAGATATATTCTTAACCTTGCAAAACAAAAAGAATGGGGGTTTTAGAAGTCGAAACGTGTCAGTGGGACTGTCTATGTATGCCTCTAGCGTGTTTTAAGCTGCGTAGAGGGCAAAAGACGCCAACTCTCTTCTCACTCTCTCTCTCTCTCTACGTTGAAAAAGACTCGGCCTTTTCTTCTTTAATTCTATAAACAAGTAAAGAAAACGGCTCTGCATTTGTAAGTGTGTAATAGTGGCTAGAAAGACATTATTGCCCCCATACCACTAAATTAGAGTATCAATTTATTGTTATGGACATTAATTAATTGTTCAATCAATGTGTGCATGTGTTTGAGAAGGAAGATAAATTGAAGAAGGATTTTAGTCGAACATTTGGATAATTTCTCATCAATGTCAACTTGTGAGTTAATCAAGAGTTGTATAACATCGATAATTTTTATTTTTCAAGTCAAGTTTAAGTATCTGCAGAGACATATAAGTTTAATGTCAAGAAATAAAAAAATTGAGTTGTAATTTAAGTGCAAGTTGAAATGAAAAATCCGTGATCAAACTCGCCAGTACACGGAATACCAAAATTGATAATGTGAACTAATCTAGATCAACAGATGTACATCATAATAACGTGGAGATTAGAGGGTTGCACAATCTGGTGAGACTAAATGGTTATGCAATGACAACTGCTGGAATCACTAAAAAGAGTACTGATGATTGATTAGAACAACTTACATTCTCAAGCCTGACATATATATATATATATATATATATATATATATATATATATATATATATATATATTGGTTTCTATTTTTAAGTATGCTTACTAATTTATTATTGCTTGGCCTTTAGGGCAGACCAAAACTTTTAAATTTATGGCGCATATCATTAATTAGCTTAAATTTTCCCAAGTGAAGGAATTAAGGTGTGTAGTGTGTAAACGTTAACTTTAACATGGCGTTGTTGATGTGAACTCTATATATGTATATATATGAAGTTACACTTTCAAGTCACTTAACTTTAAGAATAAAAGTGGTCATGTGGTCATATAATGATTAATGTATTAATGTATGTTGATGTTAATTTAATTTGTATTGGTTAGTTTTTGAATTTTGAAATTATTTGCCTTTCATTATTAAAATATAACCCCACAAATACATATATATTGTTTTTTGACATGTCATCCTAGAAAGCAATGAACCTCAAAAGCAAAAAGGGATTGTTAGATAAAGTTTTAGCCTCCATTCCCAACTAAGAAATCAATTTTAAAAACTTAATCCAAAATAATAATAATAATAATAAAGTTAAAAACAAAAATAAATACTAAAAGAAAACAACGATAAAAAAAAGTAATTATAGATGAGGTGTAACATATTTATGCTCAAACCTTATTGATTTCCTAGCTAATAAAAAGTCAAAAACAAAGTTCGGCGTTCAAAGCACTAATCGACCTTTTCAGTGGAATTCCAATGAAATTCCGCCACGTATAAGTCGGTGAGGATGAACGTAACGGCCGGGGGAGGTGATGAGCTCACAACTTGATAAGCGGGACCCACACGCCGGGAGCTTTGAAAAACAAAGAAAAAGAAACGCTTTTTTGTTTCACTGTTTTTGAAACTATTAGTAACATATACTCGTACATACGAGTATAAACATAAATAAATATTTATAAATTAGAAAAAAGGTCGTGAAATCAGTAACAGTTCGTAACGGCGCATCACCGCGCCGTCCGGTGTTTGTCCAATCCGTGTGGTGTGTAGAAGAAGCAATGACAGAGAGTCATTTTTACTAACACACTTGACCGCCACGTATTGAGGTGGAACCACATTGCTTACGTTGGACCAGTTTATAGTTTCACCCAACATAATATTCTTATATATATGTAGTATTTCATTTCATTATTTTTTTCTCTCATTTTCTTTTCTCAAAAATAAAACAAATAACTCACTAAATTTTTTATACATAAAGTTCATAGTGGATTCGGATCCCTACTGTGGTGGAAATCACAGGATTTATTCTGTACCATAAAATGTGATGTTAACATTTAGAGGCATAGTTGATTGTAAGTTAAAATTAATTAAGGTGCTATTTGCATATTATTTTAAATAGCATGATGAAAACTAATTGAAAAAAATTAAAAGATTTTTAATAGAGAAGAAGAATGTGTGATATTATATATATATATATATATATATATATATATATATATTTGATTGATCACGGGTGTATCATGGATATATTGGTTCTTGTTTAAATTAGATTTATACATATAAGTTTAGGTGTATAGTTTTACCAAGATATGTACGTATGGTGGTTGGTGGATAGGGAGGTCGTGGTAGGAGGTTGAGAGGGGAGGGGTGCGTAATGGCTATTGCTAGAGGGTGGAAGTGTAAGAGGTGGAGATGGCCATAGTTAGAGGGTGAGGGTGTAAGATGTGGAGAAAACAAATTAATAGAGATATAGAAGGAGAGAAAGGAGAAAAATAACAAATATACAGGGGCGGCTCAATATAATTTGAAGCCTTAGGCAAAAATAAAAATAAAAATTGAATTTGGTTGTTCATTTGTTGATTTTTAATGTTCTGATTATTAATTGTTACAAATTTTTCAGTAACTCTATTTTGAGATTGAATAAGTTTATCTATTCTTTTTTTTTTTTCAATTTTTTTTTTTATATTCCAAGTTATACTTTATGATAGACATATTCAACCTATAAATAAAAATGACTACAACTCACAAACAAAATATACAATTTGTGATAACAAAAAAATTAAAAATTTTCGATTTAATTTCCAATAAATTCTTCAATAGAATAATAGTGAGTTCAGAATCTGGGATTGTAAATTGTTTAAGCAAAGTGAAAGTTGAAAAGTTGATAGAGTGCTAAGATAATTTAGCCTTTTCATATATATAGTTTATTCATATTACATTAAAGTTCAATGTGAGAGATTATTTGGATCCAAAATGGATATTTTCACTCTGTATTTAGAAGTCCTTAAGCAAGCTAATCCTATGAAGGTAAATAATGACCTAGATATCAATTGGATTAGGTAGGCATAAGATTCATAGAAGAGAGAAATCAAGAAAACTTATAATATTGTTGGTTATTTTATCCAAAAAGAAGTTACCCTTCTCCCTTGTTAAAGATGCAGTTACCAAAATGTGGGGTAGTGATGATGGTCTTGAAGAGGTTTTGGCTGATGACAAGGGCTTCTTTATGTTCAAATTCTCCACAGAGATGGAATGCAATAACATACTTGCTAATGGCCCTTGTATGGTGATGGGAAAACCCTTGTTTATGAAAAAGTGGCACAAAGGCATGGAACTTACTAAGGAATCTTGTAGATTGATACCCCTGTGGGTTAGATTTTATAATATTCCTCATGAGTACTGGACAGCTAAGGGATTTAGTCATGCGATTAGTGCTGTGGGGAAGCCACTCTTTGCTGATAAGCTCACTGAAAGTAAAACAAGGCTCAGCTATGCTAGGTTATGTGTTAAAGTAGATACCACTAAACCTTTTGTTGAAGCTTTCCAGTTCAAGGTAGATGATGGAAGCTACTTTGATATCAAGGCTGAATTTCAGTGGAAACCTATGGTGTGCTCTTTTTGTTGTTGTTTTGGTCATCTATCCACTACATGCCCCACAAAGCAAAGTCTTGACAAGCTAGTTAAGGAGAACTCAAGTCAAGAGAATGTCTGGCAAACTGTCTAGAAGAACACTCAACCAACTGCCTTGGATGATGGCAGCCATGAGGACCACCCAACTAATGGTGTTGTTGATGGTAATACTGATGTCAATGGTGTAGAGCTAGCCCACACAAGATGTGTCCATTCAAGCTCAAGGGAGTGTTGAGCAAGAAGTGACCACTGAGGAGGTGGTAAGATCAGAGGATCTAAAGACATGTGAAGATGATCATGTTAATGGGATGAAGGTTGAAGGTGGGATGGAGTCTGTGTTACCTGAGGTGCTTCCTTTGGAGGTTCCTATAGCTCATGTTTCTCCTAGTTGCTCCAACTCCACTTCCAACTCCACCTGCTCTTCAAGCTCTAACCAATGTAATGGCAATGAGCACTCTGAGGTTTCACAGGAGAAAACTAAGAAAAAGAAGAAGAAGGGAGGTGAATACTCTATTGTACCTGTTTCAGGGTTTCCAGGGGTAATACTCCAAACCCTTTCTTAATGATTCTTACAGCATGGAATATCAGGGGTTTTAATTCCCCTGAAAAACAGAAGGAAGTTAAGCATTTTATTGCTGACTCTAACTCACAGTTTATTACTATTTTAAAAACTAAGGTCCAAGAACCTAATATTATTGACATACATAGATACATTGCCACTTCTTGGCAACTTCTTCACAACTATCCCTATTCTAATCTTGGTAGGATTTTAATCCTATTGGATCCCACAAAACTCAAGGTTCAGATGATGTCCTCCAATGCCCAAGCCATCCATTGCAGCATCACCACTATTGAGGACCATAATCATTTTTTTGTTTCTGTCATCTATGCTTTCAACACTGTTATGCAAAGGAACTCCCTGTGGAATGACATAAGGTCCCAAGCTGTAAGTTTCTCTCCCTGTCTTTGGGTCATATGTAGTGACTTCAATATTATTAGACATCCAGATGAAAATGCTGGTGGCTCTAGTAAGTGGAACTCAGGAATTATTGATATAAATAACTGTATTTTTGATGCTGAGCTGTATGAGTTGAGATACAGTGGTATTTACTTTACTTGGACTAATATGAGTCCTAGTCACACTAATATCTCTAGGAAACTTGATAGAGTGTTGGTGAATGACAGTTGGTTGTCCAAGCTTCCTCTTTCCAGTTGTGAGTTTCTTCCTCATGGGGTGTCTGACCATTCCCCAATGGTTAT